AGATCAGTTCACTTTACATTTCTATATCATGATGAGATAAAAAGTCTGAAAGAATAATTTATATCCTTACTCTCTGTTGTACGGTGAATATGTAGTTTTGTAAAGACATATAATTGTCATTAAAGGATTACTTTCAGATACTTTCAGATTACTTACTACAGATACGACCTGTATCTGTTGTGGCTCCGATCCCCGAGCCCATCTTATCGGAGGAAGAAGGCTCCAAACATGAAGGAGAGGAGCTGGCCAGGCCTCCCTCTCCAGGCCCTTCCTCTCTGGCAATGCCTCAGGTGTCTGCCGAGGGAGAGGAGATTGACCAGGAACCAGGTGTCTCTGATGACAGCGATGGGGGTGATAAGTCGTTCCTGGATCCACGCCAACGAAGGCGAGATAAACGTTTGCAGCAGATGAGGAGGTGTGCCAGGGATTAAGATGAGTCACTGGACCACACCCCACAGGCTATATAAGAGAGTGTGGTGGCCATTTAGACTCTGTGACAGACAAAGCTAACTTCTGGCTAGTCACTTTGTACAACGCCTGATCTGCTGAAGGTTTCATGTTTGAGCTGGACTGTTTTGAAAACTGTGTGTATTAGTTGGTGTTATCTGGTAGAGGAACACTCCCTCTTCTTGAAGTAAAGCACTTGGAAGACGGTTATCGTATTGCTGCCAAGTTCCTGATAATGAACCTTGTGTGTGCTGAGTACTTCTTTAACCCCCGGCTGGCTGTTTGTGTGTGTGTGGGGACGGGGACAGAACAGTATCTAGGCAATAAGTTGGTCACCCATTATGAATGTAAAATCTAATAATTATATTTTGAGCATATCTATGGCCCATTTCAAGGCCATCTTTTCAATGGTGCTGTAGTTAGCTTCTTCTAAGAATAGTTTCTTGGCTAAATGCATTATCTCCATCCCTATGAGTCTATACCGAGTTCTATGTCACAAGCATAATTTATTGATGGAAGCCTTTTCTTACTCCCGGTCTCTAAGGATGAGCCCTTGACACAAAGCTTCTGTCATGTCTTGAAGGCTTAATGACATTCTGATGTCAACTCCACTATTTATTTATTTATTTGATTTATATAGCCATCCATTTCACATACTTGACTCTGGGCAGCTTACAGTAAGATAGATAAAAATAAATGCAATATAATATAATATATATATATTGGGGGAACCTCGTTGAAACATTGCCAAGATACTCTCAATCTTACACGGGAAAAGATCCGAATATGCCAAGACTTGCATACCTGTACCCGTGAAAATCTATTTATTTATTTATTTATTTATTTATTAAATTTGTATACCGCCCTACTCCCGAAGGACTCAGGGCGGTGAACAGCCATAAAAATAAAACATGTAAATACAAAATTTAAAATAGAGATAAAACCGATTAAATAAATTTGGCTGAACCATTTTTAAAACCCCAATAATTTAAAACCAAATTTAAAATTCCCATTTAAAAGAGGAAAATTTAGGTCAGGCCAGCTTGATGAAATAGGAACGTCTTAAGCGCGCGATAGAAGGTACGCAGATCCGGGATCCTCCGTATCGCCGGGGGGAGCTCGTTCCAGATAGTAGGTGCCCCCACAGAGAAGGCTCTCCCCCTGGGGGCCGCCGGTCGACATTGTTTGGCCGACAGCACCCGGAGGAGCCCCTCTCTATGGGAGCGTACTGGTCGGTGGGAGGCTATTGGTGGTAGCAGGCGGTCCCGTAAATAACCAGGTCCTAAGCCATGGAGCGCTCTAAAGGTGATAACCAAAACCTTGAAGCGCACTCGGAAGACCACCAGGAGCCAGTGCAGCTCACGCAGGAGAGGCGTTACATGGGAGCGCCACGTTGCTCCCATCACCACCCGCGCGGCCGCACTCTGCGCCAGTTGGAGCCTCCGAGTGCTCCTCAAGGGAAGCCCCATGTAGAAAGTGTTACAATAGTCCAGACGGGAGGTGACGAGGGCATGAGTGACCGTGCGTAACGAGTCCCGATCCAGAAAGGGACGCAACTGGCGGATCAGGCGAACCTGATAAAAAATCCTCCCTGTCACGGCCGTCAAGTGCTCTTCTAAAGACAGCCGTGAATCCAGGAGGACACCCAAGTTGCGAGCCCTCTCCGTGGGGGCCAATGATTCGCCCCCAATAGTCAGCGATGGCACCAGCTGACTATATCGGGACGTCGGAAACCATAGCCACTCGGTCTTGGATGGGTTGAGCCTGAGCCTGTTTCTCCCCATCCAGATCCGTACGGCCTCCAGGCACCAGGACATCACTTCAAGGGCATCCTTGGGGTGGTCTGGGGTGGAGATGTACAGCTGGGTGTCGTCAGCGTACTGATGGTACTCCACCCCGAAACCACGGATGATCTCGCCCAGCGGCTTTACATAAATGTTGAACAAAAGGGGCGAGAGGACCGATCCTTGTGGCACCCCACATATAAGGGGCCTCGGGGTTGACCTCTGTCCCCCTGTCAACACAGACTGCAACCAGTCGGAGAGAAAGGAGGAGAACTACCATAATACGGTGCCTCCCACCCCCAACCCTTCCAACCGGTGCAGCATGATACCATGGTCGATGGTATCAAAAGCCGCTGAGAGATCTAATAGGACCAGGACAGAGGAACAACCTCTGTCCCGAGCCCTCCAGAGATCATCAACCAACGCGACCAATGCCGTTTCCGTGCTGTACCCAGGCCTGAAGCCCGACTGGAACGGATCTAGATACGTCGCTTCATCCAGGTACTGGGGGAGCTGTCGCGCAACCACACTCTCGACAACCTTCGCAACAAAGCGAAGGTTGGAGACTGGACGATAATTAGCCAATATTGCCGGGTCCAGGGAAGGCTTCTTGAGGAGAGGTCTCACCACCGCCTCTTTCAAGGCGGCGGGAAAGACACCCTCACCCAATGAAGCATTTATAATCCCCTGGAGCCAGCCTCGCGTCACCTCCCGGGAAGCCAGCAGTAACCAGGAGCGGCACGGGTCCAACAAACATGTGGTCGCGTTCAGTCTACCCAGAATCCTGTCCACGTCCTCAGGGGTCACAGGATCAAACTCATCCCAGATAACAGTCTCAGGACCTGCCTCCGTCATCCCCGCTGGATCTACCCAGTCGGAGTCCAGATCTTCCCGAATCTGAGTGATTTTGTCATACAGATACTGAACAAAATCCTCAGCTCAACCCTCCAAGGGGTCCTCCCTCGCTTCCTGTTGGAGCAGGGAGCGGGTCACCCTAAACAGGGCGGCTGGGCGGTTATCTGATGACGCAATAAGAGCAACGAAATGAGTGCATTTCGCTGCTTTTATCGCCACTAGGTAATTCTTAATATGAGATCTTACCAGTGTCCGGTCTGAGTCAGTACGACTGGCCCTCCAACTACTCTCTAGGCGTCTTTTACGGCGCTTCATCTCCCTCAGCTCCTCGGTAAACCAAGGAGCCAGGTGAGATCGGCGCTGGGTCAGAGGCCGCAAAGGCACGACTCGATCCAGAGCTCCAGCGGCCGCCCTATCCCAGGCGGCCACTAGGTCTCCAGTCGAGGCATGAGCCAGAACCTCGGGAATTGGCCCAAGCTCCATCTGGAACCTATCCGGTTCCATCAGGCGCCTGGGGTGGTACCATCTTATCGGTTCTGCCTCCCTGCGGCGGGGTGCAGCGGTTCGGAGGTCAAGGCGAAGGAGAGAGTGATCTGACCATGACAAGGGCTCGATGACTATGTCCCCTATCTCAAGATCACTCAGCCACTGTCCAGAGACAAAAATCAGGTCCAGTGTGTTTCCCCCCATGTGCGTAGAGCCATGAATTAGCTGGGTCAGATCCATAGCCGTCATGGAAGCCATGAACTCCCGGGCCACCTCAGATGTCTCACCCGCGGACGGCAGGTTGAAATCCCTTATGACCATAAGTCTGGGGGTGTCAACCGCCACTGCGGCGATAACGTTGAGAAGCTCGGGCAGGGCTGCTGCCACGTGGCAGGGAGCCAGGTACGTGATCAGCAAACCCATCTGAACCCCATGACCCCACTTCACAAGGAGGGTCTCACAACCGGCCATCTGAGGGACAGTGGCCTCCCTCGGCCTAAGGCCTTCTCTAATAATAACTGCTACTCCCCCGCCCCTCCCCTGTGACTACAAAAACGTGTGTGTGTGTGTGTGTGTGTGTGTGTGTGTGTGTGTGTGTGTAAAATACATTAATACATATAACCAATATTTGTTTTATCTCCTCAATGAGAATTATCAAAGCTCAAGCAGGGATGGCAAAATGGGAAACAAACCAGTTATAATACAGTACTAACCCAAGAAGAAAAATAACTTCCTTCTTTGTTTTTGGAGCCTTGACTTCTTTCAGAATTAATATTGTCTTTTTATCTAATTTCATATCTTTCCTACCAGAAAATCTAAATATGTGATTTCTTCATAGCCCGCTTTGTTGAATTTATTGCTAGGGAAACCTTCAGGAGACTTGTAATTTTTCCCAAATGCTTTAGATATTCTTCTATAGCTTTGCCTATAAATACCATATTGATGTTATCTAAGTAAGTCTCACATCACTTAACTCTGCCTACAAAAGGTATTTGCAAGTTCACTTAAATGTAGAGTCACGAGAGAAAGCAGCCTTTAGTACATCCACCTAATCATAGAGCAAGTTGAAGATGTATGTGGCTTTAGGATTCCAAACAGTGCTTAATAGTTTTCTCAAGTATCAGAACATATTGCAATATCTGAAATACAGTTTTTTCCCCTAAGAATTCTTGAATGATCTCTAGGATGTTGCATAGCTAGGATGAATGCACTTTGCAACGGTAAAAAAAATAAGTCAGTATTTTTAAAATGTAGTTCTGATGAACAATCTTCATATTACAGAACTTTTATTTTTTACTACCATGACATCTTAATTTTGACATATTTTGGGATATTTTAATGATGTAATTGCATATTTCAAAGGATGTGAAATATTATAATTCATTGAATTGAAAACTGTTTTGATTAAACCAACTCTAAAATTGGAAATTCAATAAATTCCAGCTTTATTGTTCTTCCTTAAAACATTTATATTATATGTATATTAGAATATAGCATTTTATCTGTAGCATGTTACCACTTTCTTGGAGACATTCATACTACATACTTCCATACTTCATACTCATACTCCATACTTCATTGCCATTAATATTACTATTATTAAGCAACAGTAATATTCAGATGCTTTTTATGACATTAATTGCAGGCGAAGAACAAATAGCGTAACTGTATTATTTGCATATAAAAATAGTTTTGTATTACAAAATATTTTATTTAACATTCTGAGGTTTCAGAATCACACTGGAATATGATCGTACACATGAAAAAGCATATGGTGAAAGGTTCCTGGTATTAATAAAGTTGTGTTCAAGATGAAGATGTTCTAACTGCGAATCTTCATAGTCTTCTTCCTCGTCACTGTCATCATTTTCCTCCTCATTATTTAACCTGGATCTACAAATTCGCTCTGGATGGACAGCTCTGTAAAACCATACCAGGATTAGTGAAACAAGGGTAATTGTTATATTTTGTTAATAGATCTCATCAATTTCTTCCAGATCATTTTCAAGCTAGAAACTTTGATGGACAGTTGAAAAACCTAGCTGGAAAGTGCCTTACTCTGACTAATTGACATGTTCCTTACATAGCAGTCCAAAAATGACAAATCAGTCATTTAGTTACATACCTGGTCAGCAAGGAAGTGTTCCCTTGCCGTATCAGGTAGCTCCCTAATCCTGATTGCAAAAGTGCTTAATCTCATAGCAGTACATTCTCACTGATTAAATGTATAAATAATTAAATGTTAAGTTTTAGATGGTTAAGGAAAAATTAGATTGAAGACTCTGCCATGTAAATATGTTGTTTATAATGAAATGCAAAGGTGAATCTTTCTAGCCAGGCTAAAACAAGACCCTTTTAATTAAGCAATATGCTTGGAGGATATCAAAATATAGTATATTGGGGAACTTTCTATATGTTTTTGCTATTGTTATGTTGCCCATCAGCTGTAGTGAAATAACTTGATTGCTGTTACCTCTTTACTGGGTTGACATTTAGCATGCTCAACTCTTGCTTTTAATGTTTGCTTAAAGAAAGCAGTTAAAAGGCCAAACATGCTGAAATCTGAATAAACATTACAGGACACAATTTTCTATTACGGGCTGTCAAACTCACGGCCCAAGGACCAGATGCATCATGCGCTGGCCACGCCCAGTTTAGCGAAGGGGGGGAAGTCGTGATATACATCATGTGAGAACGCCATGACAACACAAGTTTGACACCCCAGTTCTACTACATAAAAAGCTAAAAACTACCTTGATTTGAACTTGATTCCTAATTGCTACAAAGATCCATCTAGATTATGTCCTGCAATGTTTATTCAGATTTGGGTATGTTTGGCCTTCTAACTCCTTTCTTTAAAAGTAGTTTTGAGGTATTTTCGATGTATTTGGAAATTTTTTCATTTTTTTTTTACATGTTCAAATGATTAATCTGTCTTTGCTGGCAATCAAATTCCATCCCAGCAATTTTTTTTCTGGAAGAAGATAAACACTTTTAAACAAATCCGGCATCCTTTTCTGGTTATTTTGGTAACAATATTTTCCCACTAAAATTATCAATACTTTCTAACTGACTACTCACCTTTTGTCCTATTAAAAAGAACTTGCTTGAGTGCCTACTATATAATTATCTTTCAACCTGGGGCCACTACCAGCCACGTCCACACCAGTGGGTGAGCGCGCACACGCAGCTCTACTTGTGGAAGCACATGCTTGCATCGCTCGCGCAAGTAAAGCTGCATGCGCCACTTGTGTGGAATCATCCCCCCTCCCCTCCAAGATGAAAAAGTTCAAGACTGCTGCTATACAGCAACTCTTCTCCCCATCTCCCACACACTATATTATATTACCTGATTTTGTTGTTGTTGAGCCTTAGAAAATTTAATGTTTTCAGTTCTGCAATTCCAAGTGGCACAGATTTCAACTGGTTATGATCTAAAAACATTTCTCTGAGAGAGTGGTATGCTCCATAGAATGACACAAGATCTATTCCATTATCATCAAGTTTGTTAAATGAAAGATAGAGATATTCCAACCCTGGTTTCATATGTCCAAATACAAATCCTGGAATTCTGTCAATTTGGTTCCCTACAAGTACAAGATGTACTAATGACTTCGGCAAATAGGAAGGAACCTGATACAACTTATTGTAAGAAAGATCAATAGATTCCAAGTTCCTGGATAAAGACAAAAATGCACAAAAATTCAAAAGAGCAAGATAACAGACATTTTAAAGCAAAAGGTAGCAATATTGAAGCACTCAATCTCATCTATTCCCACTGTGTAGCTCTAGGGCAATGATGGCGAACCTTTTCGGCACTGAGTGCCCAAACCAGAATGCGCATGTGCACCGGAGCGCCTGAAACCGGAAGACCAGCTGGCAGGTGCGCATGTTCCCTCCTGGCCAGCTGGTATTTGGGTTTCTGGCGCTCCGGTGCACACGAAGACCAGCAGGCCGGCGCGCATGCACACATTGGAAACCAGAAGAGCAGCTGGTAACGGCGCATGTGCCCACAGAAAGGGCTCTACATGCCACCTCTGGCACATGTGCCATAGGTTTGCCATCACGGCTCTAAGGTATAATTTGGTTGTTTTTTTGCCATAATATGACGGGCAGATAGGTTTGTCTGATTTACTGACTGCAACTGTAGCTTAGTATGTTATCTGAATGAGGAGATACAGTTTGATTTTTCTGTTATTTCTTTTTTATTTTTACCCATGTTTCTAATAAATTCCCATTAATTTAAGGAAAGAATAGTTTTTTTTTAAAAAAAGAAAAAAGCAAACAAGCTATAATTATTGTGCAAGATTAAGATCTGATTAATGTATAATAGCAAATAAAAATTTTTGACTCCAAGTTTTGTTGCACAAGCCATTGCGGCTTAGATTGTACATGATAGTAAACCAAATGGGAGAGTTCAATACTATTAAGTCAAAAAAAGAGCAAAATATATGATTCATTGTCATTGAAGAACAAGGGTTAATTGATTTGTTTCTGTTTTGTTAAAGAAATTTGGTTAGTAAAATGTGTGGCCTCAATAATGTTTTTAATGTTCTTTGGTTGACACTAACGGATACTGCAAATGCTTACAGCAGATGTTTGTGTACCACTCTCCCACCCAGCCTTGTTGAAGGCTATTAGGCAGTTATGAATGAAGTAATATGGAAAAAAGAAGTCAGTAGAACTTTAGGACAGCTATAGCCATCTAGGCAGTAGGCCCTGGATAATGACCAATGAACTTTCAGATTAAAATTTATGTAGAAAGTAGGAGTATGTTTGAACCTTCCCCTGCCTTTTAGTTTATCCAAGGAAAGGATAATAGCTGATTACCAGGCAAAAAATTGTTTGTGCCCTAATGAAAAGCTTATATGTACTCTTCACAGACAAAGAATATAGTGACCCAAAGTGTTTCCTCGGGATATAAATTGGTAGCACATTTAGGAGAGTTTAGTTCTAGAAATTCCCCATGACATATAGTCAAGAATGGAGTTTTAGGGGTTATTTGCATTTTGTTGCATTTTTCCACCTTCCAGAAAGAAAATAAGCATGCAGCTTTTTAACCTTAAAAAAAAAAAAACTACCTACAGTACATTGTTGAAGCTGTCAGGAATAACAGGGACTCTACCTCAAAGTGGGGCTAGGGTAATTATTTCATGCCTCAAAAATCTGCAAATTTGCACTTCTGCAACAGATTCCGCACTACTTAATATAGAGATAGGACTATAAACAGAAATGCCAGCTAGCCATTTGTTTTTAATTAACATCTCAACTCCCTAAAGAAAAAAAAAATTGTACCACCTACTCTTTTCTCATTACAGTTCTCGAATTATTCATAACAATTTCCAGTATTTGGGGACTGGCAGATTCAAAGCTACATAAGGGGGAAAAAATAACCATGGAAGTATTTATAGGCCCAGTTGCCTTCTTTTCCTCCTCCAGTTATTTCATGAAAACTCTGCTAAAGTAATATAATGTAACTTCACTATATTGATTCAGTTTTTAAACTAAAGAATAGGGATGAGGGTTTTTTTTCCCTTTTTTGACATTTAGGAGGAAGATGCTTCAAATACTTACTTTTGTTTTAATTAAATTGAACATATATGTTTAGTTGGCAAAGTTCAACAATAATAAGGATTGAATAGTGTTTTAATTCTACTTTTTTTAAATATGTTTTTTCAGAGTTCTCTAGAATGTTTCATTCATGTAATGGTCAGTTTTACCCTTCTCTAAAACTTACTACAATATGAAAGAAAAATCAGGCCCTTCCTTTAAGTTATACATAGAAACATTCCTTTCTTTCATTATCTCAGGGAGGAAAAGTTCTTTTACTGGATTATTTGAAAATGTCTGATCAAGACCATTCACCTTTCATATCTTGTTAGTTCATGACAAAGGGAAAAGAGTGAGAGAATTTGCTGCTGACATTTATATTTTAAAACCCAGTGAAAAATAGTCTGGACCTTCTTCTACTACTTATGGTATATATCAATATATATCGGAGCAGGCACTGAAGATTATTTTCATCCTCTACTGAGACCATGCAGGAAACAGAAACAAATGCATCTTTTTCTGTTTGTCTGTTCCAAAACTTATTTCAAACTGAGAAAGCCTTATTGGCTTCTTCTTATACTGTACCACAGAAGGAAAACAAACAGCTTACAAATAATTATGAACTCCAATACAGTTGTAGAAAATTTGCCTTCTATTCAGCTCAACTTATTTTAATGTTCTTTGTTTTTACATTAGAAAAATATTGCTAGTAATTTGTACTTACTCATGATTGATCCATGCCAATGGGGCTATTCTGCTTTCTTCTAATTTATTGTGTCTTAGAACAATGATGTTTAGGTTTTTGGTATGATTAAAGCATATTTCTGAAATTTCTTCTATCTGGTTGTTATCAAGGTATAGTTCCTACTTAAACAAATGGTAGAAAAAAGAAACACATGGAATCATGGTTTGGTATATTAAAACTTAAAATAGATCTTTGAAATCTATTACTTATGATTTGAAACTGATTTCATAGAGCTGCTATGCTATTTTTATACAAAGAGATGTAAGTGATGTAAGTTGTAACTGAAAGAAGAAGAAACACAGTAACTATTTCCTTCAGATATTATGAAGGAATACACTTCATAATTTCTACACTTATGTGCCAAGTGGTTTAAGAATTTAATTGATTATTACTAATGTATAACTATCTCCTGAACAAATATTTAAATTTTACAAAATAAAGGACATTAATAATTTTAAAAATTATTTTACCTCAATAGAATGGGGCAGGCCTTGTGGAATAGTCCTAAACTGATTTCGCCCAAGCCGCAGATATGACAAGCTCTTCAAAGGCTGAAAAGCGAAAGGGCTGACATTTGATTCACTAAGTTTGTTGCTCTCTAATTCCAGTATTAGCAACTTTTTTAAACCTTTAGAAATAAAAAAACAGTTAAAATAACATTAAATAAAGTATTAATGTATTATCTATTATCCATAGCTAAGAGTAGAATTTTAGGCTAATAAATAATCAGGACACATGTACACACAAACACATTTCTGTCAGCAACTATCCAGATTACATACATACATACATACATACATACATACATACATACATACATACATATCCCACTGAATGATTTGAGAAATAAGTACAGAATGCAGTACTGCAGGCTAACTCACTGCTGACTGTCAGAAGTTTGATTCTGAACAGCTCAAGGTTGACTCAGTCTTCCAACCTTCTGAGGTTGGTCAGACAGAAAACATGACTAGAGAACTAATTCTACTTTATTGTAAGGCTACATTAGAAGAATCTGCATTAGACTTGCAGATTCTTCTAATGTAGCCTTACAATAAAGTAGAACTCTATCTGGGTTACCTGGGACGGCTAATGGGCATATAAGGAATGCAGTAGGAATTAAAACTGTCAAATGACAGTTCCTAGTTTTCAATATAAGGCTAAATTCAGTAGTTAACTGTTAGTTATATTCTGATCGGTACTGGTAGTTTTAATAAGATCTTATATGGTAGATACTCAGATTTAAATGTTGCATTGAAGAAAACTTATTTTGGATCTAAATATACATTCCCTCCTGTCTATTTAATAGATAATAGGTAGGTAGAGATAGCTACTGTAGCTAGTTAGATAGAGAGCTAGGCAGACAAATAGATAGTCCATGATGTTCTCTGAGCTTGGCTGTTTGCTTGCAGAGGTTTAATTATCCAAGTAAGTAACATCATCCATGAGAGTGAATGTGGGGTTTGTTTCCTTTTGATATAGCTTGTCCTGATGGTGTTGATGGGGATATAGGTATTTCTCCCTGGTAGTTCCCTGATTAGTTTTCTGTTTAATTGTTTGTCTAGGGTTAATCTCTCCTGATGTTTATTTGGTACACACAGAGATAAACCACACCCACACACGATTCAAGAGAGAATGTAAAAAGCTAAGAATAAAACAAAAACTCCAGATAAACTGTCAAACAGAAAATACTCTGATCAAGAGAAATCAACATGCCCACCAACATTGCAGGGGAAGCTACTGTATAGAAACTGGGAACAAACCACATGTTGTTAGCACTGATATATTGCCTAGTTGATAATGAAATGTCTGCAAGCAAAACAACCAAGCTCAAAGAGCACCAGGGACTCCCTTGTAAGTATTAGTTGCCAGAGATACAGTAGCTATTTTGGGGAATCCCACTTTGAGCACAAGTATGCTATAAAATGTAGGTGCATTTCCCATATCCCACAATGTTCCCTGCTCTCCTAGGAATTCATGGATAGGAAAAATGCCTCCTAACAATGACTTTCATGATGTCTATCATGATGTGGAAAGTCTGATTCATCTTATAATTCTCAGTTTGTAGCACTCTTATAATTTTTGATGAGGACAACACATAACTCTGTGTCATAGGAATGAAAGAAGTAATTGTTACTTCTAAGTGAAAAAAAGTAAGCTCTTCCCCAGAAAATCAAAGATCTCAGTTTTGTTTGCATGAAGTTAAAACTCATCACGATAAGGATGTCAGGTAACATTTTAAAATACCTTGAAAGCTCTCTTCATTAATTACATGGATTTCATTTTCATTTATTTTAAGTTCTTCCAAAGATGGTGGCAAACCATGTGGAATACTAACTAGTGTATTTCCATCCATATATAAACGTTGCAGATTCTTCAAGTTCTGCATTAAAAGAAAATACAAAATACTTTGTAAACCTCTGTTTTATTCATCTACACTAGTTAAATTATGGTCCAAAGAACATGTGTGGTGTGTGGTACTGCTACAGCTCTTTGGAGACAGTAGATTCAATGGTCAAAGAACCTTTGCCAACACATGCTAAAATAAAACACAGCAACATAATAATTTTAAATAATTTAAATTTAAATTGAACAATGTATGAAACTCTGGAAATTTGAAATAGTGATTTAAAAATGTGTGAAATAAAACAAAATATAAAAGTGGGGTATTAGTATCATACAACATTGACGGAAAATTATCACAGCAAAACAAAATTATTAAAAGACAGAATATGGGAAATTTGGGAGGAAATTCAAACATTGGGTGGTAAGTAGATTCTCATATGTTTTGAAATGAATAAACACAATAGTTAGGGAAGTATGTGTACACTTGAGCCGCTACCACATTTTTGAAAGTTGTGTGCCTTTTCCTTCTACCTAGGGCTGAAAGTAAATTGGCCAAAGTCACTCTGCTGACTTTAGGCGCAAGGCAAGCCTAGAACTCACTGATCTCTGGTTTCTAGCCTGCTGTCTTAACCACTGCTACAAAGTGGCTGTCACTGGAAAATTATTGTGAGTAATATCCAGTTTAGTTTGGACCCAGGATACTCCCAATCAATCCTATATCCAAACCAGAGCAAATACACTCAGTACTCAGTACAGCTACCAAAAGCCATAGCCGGATATTTATTTATTAAACATCAGCAAACATTAACAAAGTATTTGGCAAAAAGCAGACAATAGCGGGGAGAGATATGAACAGCGAGTGACGATTCACTTTATCTGTATTACTGTCTCTGCCTCTTACTTCTATCAAAATAGTGAAGAAGAACTTTCCAGGGCCACTGGAAACAATATTGGTATAATTACTATGAACAGATCCAAAGAGCTTTGGTTTATTCCAGCTTTTATGAATATAGTAGGGACAGAATAGTGATAGAAAGTAGGACCCCAAGTGACCTGCTCTCTCTTCTTCACATGAAAGGAACAGTCTGGCACAGAAGTATGATGTATCAAACATTTCCTTTTGCATCAGTTCTGTGCGTGGCATTCTGTACTGTAGTGGATCATACTGGTTTCATGTACTGACTCCCAGGGCTTCTCCCAGCCTGAGGAAGTAGGCTCTGAGCAACTGATTGGTGAGCACAGCTGCCATCGTTGCATCAGTTGGGCCATACTTCAGTTGTACCTACCCCTTTTCTTGTATGTCCTTCACAGTTCAATATCTATGTATTTCTTTTTGGGGTTGGAGTGCTTTTTGTCTACAATTCTCATACATCCCATGTTGTCCTCAAATAACATGATTGGGGTTGTTGTTGTTGTTTTATTTTGAAGTCTAGCAATAGTTTGTATGGCCACATGTATTCCCTGCATGCTTTTTTTCACAGCACAATATTCAGCTTCTGCAGATGTTAGAGCTGCTGTTCTTTGTTTCTTGCTGCAGCAGGCAATTAATACACTCCATTCAAATAAAAATGTATCCTGTAGTTGATTTCCAGTCAAAGTTTATTTCCCGACTCACAGATTTAAAGTCCATTGTTCCTTTTAAGTATCTCCCATATCATTTTATTGATGTCCAGCCCGCCTATGTTTTCTTATTGATCTTTCTACATAGCAATTGCAATTTCATTGTCTGTAACGGATTTATTCATAGATGCAACATATGCTTTCCCAAGGGTTCCTGCTCTGCTTATTACTTGCCAACTCGTTCTGGTTTTGTTTCGTGGTTTTGTATCTAACTTCCATTGATGTCCTTGACTTTTGTTTAACTGAGACCTAGAAACATTATTAACTTCATTTTTTGGTTTTGGTAGATCAGGTGCCCTCTAATTTTTTTTTAATGCTTCAATTCCAGGAATAAGCCTAGTATCTTCAAAATGTTTTACTTCCACTTCTTTATTTAAATTATGAACTTCAAGCTGTCTCTTTTGTCCTCTGCTCCTACAATTAAATAGTCATAATACAGGATTGTTTGTATGTCTTTCATATTTAACACTGTATGTAAGACTGGTTCAGGATTTCCCATTTAAAGCTCATATTTTACCATATTTGATTTAGTTTTTTAGATCATGTTTTGTTTTATTTTTTGATTAAAAGATAGATTCAAATATATTTTGAGTAATATTTTGAATGTTTCATAATAATTTTTCCACCCTTTGTTTTGATTGACATGGGCATAAATATCTGAAAAAAATAATTTTCGATGGTTGACTGAGATTTGCCTTTACCTAGTCATCGTATTTTGTCCTTCTCGTAAGGACAAACATTCAACTGAATTGCTAAGCCCTTATTCTTTATTTTCCTAATAATCCATTCATTTCTTATCAAATCTGGTAAAAATTATTAATATGCATGCATCCTATTACTCTTTTTGCTTTAGGCTGCATAAGCTCTGAAAATTAGCTTCCTTGTGCTTTCCATTAATATTATTTAATGTCCTTTTTACAAACTATAAAGTCCATTTTAAGCATCATTTTGCAACTACAATGCATAAAAATACACAGATTTATATAATTTACATTCAATTCAGGTACATTATATAATTCTTGAAAAATAACCCTTCTTTCATTATAATTTATTAGGCATTTCATTTTAAGATTGTTTTTCCACACACATCCATTTGATAAATTAACTTTTCTTTTGTAAGATTATTCAAGATATTCAACTTGAACATATAATTGAACATAAATTCAGAATCCTATCCTCTTGAAATACTTTAAAGAAAGCATTTATTTGCTAACATAAATATTCTTTCTTCGTTGTTTTGCAGTTCCTGTGAGGCTTGATTTTTCATTTAAGATGTTTGATTTCATTATCTTTCTACTGCCTGGGTCTTAGCTTCTGTGAAGTCCGTATTGTCTTTTAATATGTCTCTTTCTGTTACAGTAATGACAGACTATATTTCTCCCTTTTATCTTGTTCAGATAATTCCTTTCAGTTGCATAATTCAGCAGCCTAGAACTAAGGAGAAATTTCCTGACAGTTAGAACAATTAATCAGTTGAACAACTTGCCTCCAGAAGTTGTGAATTCTCCAACACTGGAAGTTTTTAAGAAGATATAGGACAATTATTTGTCTGAAATGGCATAGGGTTTCCTGCCTGAGCAGAGGGTTGGACTAGAAGACCTCCAAGGTCCCTTCCAACTCTGTTATTCTGTTCTGTCCTGTTCTATTCATATGGATAGACTTCCAGTTTAATAATTACATTCCCAAAGGAAATTTATCATGAAGTTTGATTAACAGTACTATTTTGTTTTTTTTAGTAATTTATTAAAACATCAGAAAGATTCACATTAGTTTGGTGTAGTCTCTTCTGAACAGAGACCTATTCCAACACGTTCCATTCAACTTTCACGTCCTGATAATTTCAGGTTTACATATTTCTTGAACATTCTTGAACCTATTGTTCATTCCTGAGTATGTATATGTTTGTCAAAATTCTCCCTTTCTGAAGCACAATTTTGAATCAATTTACAGATCATCACTTTCCATCTCAGTTTGATTTCAGACTTAAGTATCCATCTGTTCTCCTGGCTTGGGCTTCTGGACATGATATCTCCAAAGAGCTCAGCTTTTCAAATAATGTTTCCATCTTCCAGCTCCAGCAGTGTATTTTTTCTCATCTTCAAGCATGAGATGATCTAATTTTGATGTCACTGCCATTTCCAAAACTTTATGGTACTGAGGGCATGAAAAAAACACTCTTCTAGTAGGATGTTTTAAATCCTAATAAATACTGCATTGTGTAGCATTTGAGGGCTGATTAAGCTTGACTAAGCACTTGGAAATAAATTAGGATGTTTGGTAACTGGGGTGCTCCTGGCTCTAGGATTTAGCTATAACTCCCTGCTGCACCCACACCATTTTTCTTGGAAAATTACTGGAAATAATTTCCAGTGCAACACAGCACACTCCCAGCCATTTCTTATAGCCAATTAGAGCAAGCACACGTCACTTAATACAGGTAGCAAAAATATAGCTTGATATTTATTTATTAAACATCAGCAGACATCAAGTGAATTGACAAAAGGCAAGCAAAAGCAAAGAGAGACATGAATAATAGGCAAAAGTTTTATCTCTCCATATAACTATAGGAAGGAAACAATATTAGAAATAATACTGCGGTAATTAGCATGTAAAATTCCAAAGAGAGTGACTTTTGATTATTCCAGTTTTAATACTTTTATGTACATAACAATAGCATAGGACCTAGTTATCTTCGAGACCGCCTTCTGCCACCAACGACCTCCCATCGACCCGTGTGCTCCCACAGAGAGGGCCTCCTCGGGGTGCCATCAGCCAAGCAATGCAGACTGGTGACCCCAGGGGGAGGGCCTTCTCTGTGGGGGCTCCCACCCTCTGGAATCAACTGCCCCCAGAGATAAGGAGAATCCAAGACCTTCGTGCCTTCCGCCGTTCCCTTAAAACTTTCCTTTTTCAACAAGCCAGGCTGGCCTAACAAATCCTTTTAAATGATTTTAAATTTGTTTGTCTTTTTAAATTTTGGGCCAAATTGAGATATTTCCTTTTAATCTGTTCTTAATCTATGTATTATGTATTTACGTGTTTTTACTTGGCTGTACACCGCCCTGAGTCCCTAGGGAGAAGGGCGGTATATAAATCTAAAGTAAAATAAAAAAATAAATAAAATAATAGAGATAGAAAATAGTGCACTAGGTGATCTCTCTTCTATTTTGCACTTTGGATGAAACGATCACATGGTAGGAGTGATGTATCCAATGCACAGAATAGTACTATTCTGACATCAGTTAGAGCAACTGTTAAAATGGAAGCGATTGTTATATTGAGCTGGATCTTATTCCTATGTCAGAAAGTGGAATAAAGAACTAGGACATTTTCTCTCAAGGTGTAATCCTCTTGGAATTCATGATAGCCAAGAAAACAAAAAACATGTAATCTGATGTTTACCTTAAGGATTACAAAAGTCTTCAGGAAAATTATATAGAATTTTATGACTGAAACTTTTAAAGTAAAAAGGCATGGATGAAAGAATATGCAATCTATTCTTTCATAAGAATAGCAAAATATTCTTATGCCAAAGCAAAATACTGCACTATTTAGAGCACAAGGACATTTTGATATTCTTGCTTTTTAAAAATTGTAACGTTGCAAATTGGAGACATTTTGGTGTAGTTGTTAAGACATCAGGCTAGAAACCAGGAGACTTACTTTAGGACTAAAGTAGGGGTGAAATACTTCCGGTTCGGGCAAACCGGTAGCAATAAGAACTACAGTTCGGGTGAATAGTAATAGTAATTTTAAAAAGCTACTGTTTCCTCCGAACCGGTATTTCCTACGATCAGCTGTGGCGCGGGGTTTAGCTTTGCTAGAAAGCAACAAATCCTGCTTTCTAGCAAAGCTAAACTGCGCTGCACAGCTGATTCCCCCCCCCCCCCCGACTGTTCTACTTACCTTCCCAAGCCTCCTTTTGGTGCGTACTGCGCGTGCACACAGCCCACACCAAAAGGAGGCTTGGGAAGGTAAGTAGAACAACGGGGGGAATCAGCTATGCAGCGCAGCTTAGCTTTGCTAGAAAGCAGGATTTGCTGCTTTCTAGCAAAGCTAAATCACGCGCCATAGCTGATTCCCCCGCTTCTACTTACCTTCCCAAGCCTCCTTTTGGTGCGCATTGTGCATACGTGGCCAGTGAACCGGTAGCAAACTGGTTCGGATTTCAACACTGGCCTAAAGCCAGCTGGGTGACTTTGGGCCAGTCAGTCTCTCTCAGTTCTGGGAAGGGGACAATGACAAATCACTTCTAAATCTTGCCAAGAAAACTGCAGGGACCTATCCATGCAGTCACCAAGAGTCCACACTGAGTTGAGGGTACCAAAAAGAAATGTTGCAAATTACGATCCATTAAATTATTTCAGTGCAAGTATGTTTATATAATATGAATAATATTATAAACATGCTATTATTTAAAATACTTAAACTATTGAAAATAAAAAGAGGAAAGTAAAATGATGCCAGTGTTGCAAGAAATAAAATTATTTAACTTTTCATCCAAAGTTGAGAATAACGTTTGTTTGTGTATGTGTGTGGTTGTCTGTGATTATATAGATTTTTCTTACTTTAAATGCTTGTGGACCAATGCCAGATGATGTGATTTTATTTTTACGAAGATCAATTCTCTCCAAATTAGGTATCCCATTGAAAGCTCCATCTGGAATTTCAGTGATGTCATTCCCTAGGGAAAAGGAAGAAAAAAGTTAAGAATGTTATCTCTAATTGTTGACCATTTCTTTTTTTAAATTTACAGTATAGGTACCTGTAACCAAACACAGGAGAAGACAGTAATATTTTTTTATGCTAGAAATGGTGTTTAGTAAGGATTTATATGGTATCTGCATTAAACAGCAAACAGGAAATAAAAATGATCTCTCCTCCTTCCTTTCCCAATTTTCATAATGGAAAATTGCAGCTCCAGAAAGCATGACTGTTTAATCAAGTACAACATTGGAAAACTGATGAATGAGTAGGAGATTACTTTCTCAAGATCTTTCTCAGTGCTTGTCTGCTACAGTACATACAGTACAAAGGAGATGACTTTTCAACTCTCTTCAGAGAAAGCCTATTTTAAAATAATAATTATGCCTCTGCAGCAGTGGTGGGATTCAACATTTTTTACTACCAGTTCTGTGGGCGTGGCTTGGTGGGTGTGGCAGGGGAAGGATACTGCAAAATCTCCATTCTCACACCACTCCAGGGAAGAGTTACTGTAAAATCTCCATTCCCACCTCACCCCACTCCAGGGGAAGGGAAGGATGCTGTAAAATCTCCATTCCCTCCCCGCCCCACTAATCTGCTTTCCAACTCCGTGTCCAGCAGAGGTGGGTTTCAGCAGGTTCTGACTAGTTCTGGAGAACCGGTAGCGGAAATTTTGAGTAGTTCGGAGAACCAGTAGTAAAAATTCTGACTGGCCCCGCCCCCATCTATTCTCTGCCTCCCAGGTCCCAGCTGATGAGGAAATGGATTTTGCAGTAACCTTCCCCTGGATTAGGGAGGGAATAGAGATTTTACAGTATCCTTCCTGTGGAGTGGGGTGGGAATGGAGATTTTACAGTATCCTTCCCTTGCCACGCCCACCAAGCCACACCCACCAAACCATGCCATGCCCAGCAAGCCACACCCACAGAACTGGTAGTAAAAAATTTTGAAACCCACCACTGGTGTGCAGGGCAACAAAAGAAGACCTAGCCGATCAGCTGGGACTCAATCAGCAGGGACTCAGGAGGCAGCGAATAGATGGGGGAGGGGGGCAGTCAGAGGTTTGCCGGTTCTCCGAACTACTCAAAATTTCCCCTACCGATTCTCCAGAACCGGTCAGAACTGGCTGAATACCACCTCTGCTCTGCAGTGAGTGAAGTAAAAGTAAAAGCGCATCAGGAACAGAATAAATAAGAAGCAACTTACTCTATTTATATTGTCATAATTATAACAATGCCTTTGAACAGAGTTCTGAGTTTTATTTGGATGAACACTTTTAAAATATTTTCAATGTATTAAAAAAAAAAAATCCTCACCGTCAAGCTCTATGCTAGTAAGCTCTTCATCTCTGATTACGGGTATATGGGTGAGTTTGGCATTAATACAGCTTACTGTATTTTCTAAGACAGAGCATCCAGTTGGCAAAGGAGGAATCTCAGTAGAAGGCTCAGGAATTGGGAAAAGTGGGGGCATTCTGAACACATCTCCACGCAATATGTCTTCTTCCTCCTCTTCACTTTCTTCCTTCTCTTGTTCATTTTCTTCTTGCTCTTGCTCTTGCTCTTCCTCCTTTTCTTGTTCTTGCTCTTGTTTTTTAATTTCTTTCTCAAGTCTTAGCTCCTCTTCTTCATAAACTCTTCTTTTTTCTTCCTCTGATCTGGTTTCCACCTCCTCTTCCCTTTGATCATTGATATGTTCATGTTTTCTTCTTAGTTTGTGGCTTTTTATTCTCCTCTTTTTCATCTTTCTTTTATTTTTTATATGAATATTCTTTTCAAGTGTTCCTTCCTTCTTTTGCATTGGATCTTGTGTCTGCATGACTGGTTCACTCGGATTAGTTGGCACAGGAGAATCACCAGAAACTTCAGCTGTGTCACCTTGAGAAATTGTACTTAATTCTGAATATAAGCAAAAAAAAAAGAGAAAGAGTTAATGCTAATTTAACACAAGATCATAATGCCATTTTATAATAAATGTCAATAAAGATGTACTTGCAGATATACAGTACCTATAATTAATGTGCCTGAAAGTGCATACAAAATCAATATTGCATGCAAACAATATTATACACAAGATCAGAAATATTAGAAGTTTAATTGGACTAATTTGTTATTTTCTGTGGTTTTATGGGTATCCAATTTTATTGGATGTACTTATATCTGTCTCTACTTATATTGAGAGAGAGAGTAGAGGGAATATGTGAACCAGATATTTAGTTAAATATTAAAGTCCTAATTTTTTAGTCTTATTAGCATTAGTTGCTAATTATTTACCTTATTCATAAATATTTCATGCAAAGAAAATTTATAGATTGGATACTAGTATAAATTTTCATAAAAATTCCAAGTTCATAAGTTTTTAATTTTTCTGAACAGGTGTAATATGTTAAGATACAATCAAGATATGCAAAACATAATGATTTTAAAGGGTTCTGACTCAAAAGCCACTAATAAGATTACTCTAAAACATGTATATTTTATTAATTCTATTTAAAAATTGAAACAAGACATTAAATAAAACTTTCAAACTGTGTTGTTTCAAATGTTCTGGCTATTCTGAGTGCTTTGTCATTGGGTTGCTTTAAAAAAAAATCAATTGGTTATATCCCTGCTGCTCTTGATTTGAGGGATGGGCTAATAGGGTAATAAATATTCAGAGGAAAGCAGCTGTAAAAACACCTGGCTGAACAAGAAATCTACTCACAGTAGCTGCACGACTGGTAAATTTTTTTATAAAATTATTTGCTATGGATGTCGAGTTCATGTGAGAAAATAGCCTGGATGTACATTGAGCAAAATAAACATGTGCATTATTGTCTTTCATAAAACAGCTTTTACCAAAATTGTTACCATGTCTTTGTTAATACAAAAATACTGGTGCAATGTTGTTAAGATTAGTTTATTGAGCTCTTAATTTTGAGCTTCAAGCTACATTTAAAACATTAAGGCTCTGTGCTGATTTCAGCCTTAATTAAGGTTTGGATTAGACTGAATATGTGTATAGTTTTGTGCCCTGTTGTAAAATTTCCAAAATGCCAAGATGAAATATTTGCTTTGAGATTGGCAATAAATCAGCTCTACTTTCTTTTCTCCTATCAACTTTATGCTGAAGTTTTATTGGCTCAGATCCAAGGGCACATGGTTGCTTTGTCAAGTGAGCTTTTCAGAAACTTTTGCCTGTCACGTGTGATTTGGTATATTGGTATATAGAGATGGCATGCTGCGAAGAGGGGGTTGAGGGGTTTTTTATTTAAATTTTTAAAGAAAATTTTAAGGGGACCCGGGAGGAAGGGAGGGGGTTGTGAAAGTGGACCTGGGGGGGGGTCCAGATAGCTACTGAGCGGGGTGACAGGCTGATTGGCTGCAGCAGAGGGGTCAGGAAAGAAAATTTATCCGGGGAGCAGGGGGATAACAAGAAGGGCAATATAATTGAAATAATGAGTGGGAGGGGCAGGTATGACGGGCGCAGGGGACCATATCATGTGCCGGGGGTGCGCATACGCTGTTTATGAGCAATTGCGCACTCCGGTCCCCAGTGCGCGCCTCGTGGCCTGGGTTGTGCAGAGTCTCAGGCCCAGGGTCCACGGCTGATGTTATGTAATGCCAGGTCGGTTGTCAATAAAGCCCCCCTCATCTGTGATCTTATATTGGAGGGGGGTGCGGACCTGGCAGGTATTAGGGAGACCTGGTTGGGCCAAGAGGGGGGGTCGCCCTCATTGAAATGTGCCCACCAGGTTTTCGTGCATTTCATCAGCCAAGGGCCCAGGGGAGGGGTGGGGGAGTGGCGGTGATTATTAGGGAGAGTCTTTGTCCGAGGGAGACCACTGTTCCTCAGATAGCCGGATGTGAGTCCCTCTTTGTGAAGTGGGGCCGTGGGGTGCAGATGGGTTTGCTGACTGCGTACCTGGCTCCCTGCCACGTGGCAGCGACCCTACCTGAGCTACTCAACGTCATCGCCGGGGTGGCAGTGGATACCCCCAGACTTGTTGTCATGGGGGATTTCAACCTTCCATCCGCGGGTAAGACGTCAGAGGTGGCTCGGGAGTTCATGGCTTCCATGACGGCCATGGACCTGACCCAGTTAGTTCAAGGCCCCACTCACATAGGAGGACACACTCTGGACTTGATTTTCATCTCTGGTCAGTGGTTGAATGATCTTGGTAGAGGGGACTTAGACATTAAACCCTTGTCATGGACAGATCATTCGCTCCTTCACTTGGACTTTCCTACCGCTTCCCCCTGCCGCAGGGAGACGGAACCGACTAAATGGTTCCGTCCCAGGCGCCTGATGGATCCAGAAAGGTTCCTGACGGAGCTTGGGCCGTTTCCTGAGACTCTGACACACGACTCGACTGAAGAGCTGGTGGCCGCCTGGGAGAGTGCGGCCGCCGGAGCTTTGGATCGTGTCGTGCCTTTGCGGCCTCTGACCCGATGCCGATCTCAATTGGCTCCTTGGTTCTCTGAGGAGCTGAGAGAGATGAAGCGTTGGAAAAGACGCCTAGAGAGCATTTGGAGGACTAGTCATTCTGATTCCGACCGGACACAGGTAAGGTCTTATATCAAGACCTACCTAGTGGCGATAAAAGCGGCAAAATCTAACCATTTTTCCACTCTTATCGCATCTGCAGAGAACCGCCCAGCCGCCCTGTTTAGGGTGACCCACTCCCTTCTTCGGGGGGGAGTGCGGGAGGATCCCTTGCAGGGTCGAGCTGAGGATTTTGTGCAATTCCTGCACGATAAAGTTGCTCGGATTCGGGAGGGCTTGGACTCCGACTGGGTGAGTCCGGGGGAGGAGACGAGGGTAGGTCTTGAGAATATTATCTGGGAGGAGTTTGATCCTGTGGCTCCCGAGGATGTGGACAGGGTTCTGGGTAGGATTAGTGCCGCCACATGTTTATTGGACCCGTGTCCCTCCTGGTTGGTACTGGCCTCCCGGGAAGTTACACGAGGCTGGCTCCAGGGGATTATAACTGCTTCTCTGAGTGAGGGTGCCTTTCCCGCCGCCTTGAAAGAGGCGGTGGTGAGGCCCCTCCTCAAGAAGCCTTCCCTGGACCCGGCTGAATTAGTTAACTATCGTCCGGCTTTTATTTAATGGCTATCAGATGTGAACTTAGAAGGTGATTTGGGACAAAAGAATAAGGATGCTATCATTACCACTGCAGCAAATGCAAATGCCACTAAACTGTTCTTAAGTGCTGAATTTGAGGCTGATCAATATCTTAAGCGATAGTATACTATGAACTATTAGTATGCTATAGTATTGTATACTATGAACACTATACTTACGTGTACTATACGTTGATATTTTGGGATGTCAAATATGTATACCCTAGAGCAATTATATTCCATTCAGAATATGTTCTTCTGAATGATTTTTTAAAATATTATTATTGGTATGATTAAATACTATTTTCACAAATTCCAATTTCCAAACTAATGTTTCAGTTGCATTCAAGGGTCAGTGAATTATTTTTCTTTTCATTCGCTTGTAGCTTTTGATTATAATTGAAGACATATGCTGAAATATACTTGTGTGCATATTATGTTCAAATATATAAGAAATTAATATACCCTGAAATGTACAGGTACCCTTCAACTTACAGTCATAATTGGAATTGGAATGTCCATTGCTAAGCAGGGCAGCACCCAATTTTACAATCTTTTTTATTGTTAAGTGAATTACCACGGCAATTAAGTAGGGCACAAAGTCATTAAGTAAATTTGGCTTTCCCCATTAACTTTGTCAGAAACTAGGGAGGAAGATCACAAATGTTTATCATGTGACCTGGAAGCGCTGCAACCATTGTTAATATATGCCAGTTGCCAAGTGCCAAAATTTTGATCAGGTGATGATCATGGGAATCAATGATGGGTTGCCCCCGGTTCAGACCAGTTCGCAAGAACCAGTACTAAAACTGGCAGGAGGCCCCGCCCACCACCCTGGATGTCATCATCAGTGATCTGCGCATGCACAGAAGCTTCTGCGCATGCACAGAAGCAAGGCACGCACACGAGCGAAGCAAGCGCATGATCCCATTGCGAACCGGTAATAAAAGTAAGTAGAACCCACCCCTGATGGGAATGTTGTAATGATTGTAAATGCAAGGACTGGTTGTAAGTGTAAAGACTAGACTTTTTTGCTATCATCCTAACCTTGAACAGTCACTAAATGAATGTTTTAGTCAAGGACTTCCTGTGTGTCATATGCATATAACACTTAATGTATATAAGAAATTAGTATACTGTACCACTCTCCAGACACACAGGGCAACACTCCCCTTCAGGTTTTGTAGATTTGGGACATGTCAAAGGGTTGCATGAGGTTTCGTCACAGTACACCTCTCCTTTTGAACAGAGGCATGTAACGCAGTGTTTAGGAGACCACACAGCTTTATCAAACATAATCATTCCATTAGCAAAGCATCGTCCTTCTTTTCCTAAGAAATGGAAGCCAAAAACAGGTTTTATTATACAAATATATAAAATAATTATAAAGTGTACTGATTTTCACTACCAGCTTTATCTAAATTTTGATGTATATGGCAATCTATTATTGTCAGACAGATAGATAGTGGTGATGAAACAGGATATTATCCCACGTGAGAAGTTGATAAGTTGATGTAACAATTAGATTGCCAGATTAGATCTGCAGAAACTAGATTCAAACTCATTTCAAAGAATTCTCATAACTAATTTATAAGAGAAGATAATACAACTCAATACCTTTCGGTCATTGATTGATGCCTTACTTATGGTATGCTCATTACAAATATAAATATTTATTGTACCACACCTGGAATATAATGTTAGGAAAGGAAGATGTAAAAATCTTGTAGAAAGTATTTAACATCTTCTAAAATATATGTTCATCCTAATAAAATGTAATATATTTAACTGAACTTTTGGTTGTAAAGCTAGAGATAGGTAGGTTCTTTTCCAATGTGATCTTCACTTGCAATCACTCTAAATACTAGACTAAAAATACCTTATGGATGAAATCCTTGGCAGATACCTCAATGCTTTCAGCTTCAGAAATATGATGTAGTTTCAGTACTGAGTTCCAACTTATTTGAGTTTAGTGGTTTTAGTTCCACCTTTGGGTAAAATTCCAGATAAAAAGAAACAATCAAGGGGAAAATGAGGAAACTACATATATTACTTCAGATGATTCCTGAGGGAGATCAAAAATACTTCATATAGAAGATATGGTATGTATGCTAGTATACTTCAGCATATGAAAATAAATGTTCCCAAATGAACAGCTTTAGAAAGACTATTAAAAATGGTCTGCAATAATACTTCTGTGTGTTCTAATTGCCCTTTTATTAAAATAAACTGCTTTATATACCTACCTTTTCTATGTAATTCCACATTGAGATCATTTATTTAATTTATTGTGTGCCCCTTGAAACAGGAATAATTGATTTGGAATATATATATGTGGTTTATAGATTAGTTTCGGATGTTTTCTAAAATAACTATTTGCCATGAAAAAGTTTCTCAACCAAGCTAACTATGATACTGTATAATTTCTAGAATTATCAGAATGAAATAAATCACAGACATCTTCCAATAGTAAATACTTATCAATTTATAATACAATCATATTATAACAGTTTATATAAAAAAGGTTTGGAATTAGATGCTAAATGCTAACATGTTCAGAAGATTGTTCTGCATAGTACAGTATGAATGTTTACTACAATGAAGTCAATGAAAGCCATGATTTCACCTTTACTTAAATTCATGTATTATATTAATGAAACTATACTTATTTATTCCAAATATTTTTGTGCCATGCTTTTAGTGTACACGGCTAAGCCAAATCGTTGCTACCACATACATTTTAGTTTTGAATATCTTGGAGAAATAGATACAGAGTTTTATATAATTGTATATCTTTAGTGATAGAATGCAGAGCATTGAAATATCAAGGGTATTTTATTCTCCCCATGTGCCAGTACCACCCAGATGTGTTTCACAGGGCTGTGGAACCTTCTAGAAGTGTTTTGTAAGGTACAATGGGCTGTACTAAGAAAACTAGCATTTTAAGGGCTACAATTGAGATATCTGCTAATGTAATATTGGACTTAGCTTTGAAATCATCATATTAGCATAGAGAGACTTAACATATTGTGGATTCAAGTATTTCATCCTAGGAAACTGCATAGACACTGTTTATGTTCTGATTTATATAAGGCCTTTTCAATTGAAAACACCACTAATATAAATATTTGAATCTCTCATTTGGAATACTCAGCTGTGATTTTTTACAACAGTCTGTTTCTAATGTCTTGATCCAGATCAACTGAAATTGATAGAAATAATATGCTTTCCATCGCTTTTGAGGCAAGTAGGTCAACATAATTGACAGGATGGTTGTTTCAGACCATTCAAATTATGAATTAGCTTTGGAACATACATTCACAAAATCAGTTTGCACATCCACTGAGAGTGCAAATGTCAGTTATATGAATTGTTCACTCACTAGGATGACTTCAGTTCTAAACGTTTATCATCTAAATAATGCTGACTTACTGATTTATCAAATTCCATGTACTCTGATAATAAAGTTGTTAGACTACTAATACTTGTGCACTGTTACCTGCTTTGGGGAGAAAAATCACCTGATTGTTATGATGTTCTACAATATTTTAAAGATGTGTATTAATTAACTATACATTTTAACTGTAAGAGCCTTGGTGGTGCAGCAGACTAAAGTGCTGTTAAGTAGCATTTAGCTGCCAGCTGCTGCAATTCCTGCGAGTTCAAATCTCACCAGGCTCAAGGTTGACTCAGCTTTCCATCCTTCCGAGGTAGGTAAAATGAAGACCCGGATTGTGGCTGACTTTGTATAAAAAAGAACACCGCTTGGGGGGGCCGAAAGCCCTACTAAGCAGGTATATACAAAAGTATGAAGGCTATTGCTTAACGTATTGTAAGCCGCCCTGAGTCTCCGGAGAAGGGTGGCATATAAATCAAACCAATAACAACAACAACAACAACAACTTGACCTGGTAGTAGAAAATCACTTGGCCTACACATTAGCCTGTCAGTATTTTTGATTTAATCACACTTGTGGAGCATGGTGGCTTGAGTGGTTGGAATGCTGGGCAGGAGGTTAGCAAGCCTGCGTTCGAGACCCAAGAGCTGCCATGGTGGTTGAGCATTTATCCTTCAGTCCAGCTCCTACCAGGGCATGAAAAGAGCCCCCAATGGGCTAATCCTTTCAACACAGAAGTACCTTGGTGCTTCTGACATGAGTGCAATAAAAAAATTGTTTAAATTGTTATGTTATTGAGATATTATATTGTGAATCAACACAGTATGAGTTGGGAGGTCATAAAATAAACAATAAAATCTATTTCTACACATTAGGTGAAGAGCACCAAAACCACTATTAGATTTTTGTTATTTGTCTACAGTGAATGAAAATCATACATGATGCCCAAGATTAAGCAAGAAGAATTCATCTATTTCGAATAGTTTTATTTTTTACATGGATGATTTATAAATATTTAAAAAATAACTTTTTCCTGCTTACCTGGCAAAATATTATAATTGGATTCTTGGCCATCCAATTGGGTAAGAGAGTTAAACACTCCAGTAATATCTCCATCAATATTAGTAAGTGGGATGCTCATTAGTGGAACGCTAGAGATTGGAGGTCTAATTTGTGACTGCTTATTTAAACTGTGATTTCTTAAGGGGATCTTTCGTAGTCTTCTATAGATTATTCTTCGCCTTGCTCTTCCGGGCATTCCATTGGGTTTATTCTGGGCAAGAGCAACGAACAAATAAACAAGCAGAAGATAGTAGACTAGGACTGCTTTTTGCATTGTTCTCTGAGTGCTGCATAAAAAAGAAGGAAAATGTCATTTGAAGATAAAAAAGAGATTAGAATTAAAAATGAAAAGTGCATTATTATTTTTATTAAGGTCCTTATTAAGTAGAGAGTCTAAGGCAAGATCAGTGACTATTTGTTTTATTTACAAATTATATATGGGTGAGAATCTTCTGTAGATAAAGCAATGTTCTTTGGAAGCAAATACATGATAGCAGTGTTCCACTATCTAAGGGGCTGCCACAAAGAAGAGGGGGGTCAACCTATTCTCCACCTGAAGGCAGGACAAGAAGCAATAGAGGGAAATTAATGAAGGAGACAAACAATTAAAACTAAGGAAAGTTAGAACAATTAATCAGTGGAATGACTTGCTTCCAGACGTTGCAGATGCTCCAACACTGGAGGTTTTTAAGAAGAGATTGGACAACAATTTGTCTGAAATGGTTTGGGTTTCCTGCTTGATCAGAGGGTTGGACTAGAAGACCCACAAGGTCCCTTCCAACTCTGTTATTTTGTTGTTCTGTTATATTTGGACAGGGATGAATCTCATTTTTGCACTGCAGATCTATGGAAAGACAAGAGTCCAGATTCAAACTGAAGTTTGACCTAGATGTGAGCCAGCTGCTCTGAACCATTTAATCTGATGAGATTAATGAAATATTGTTGCAAGTTTATTCTTTGTGAATGTCACATTGTCATCTACAAAGACAAGTTCTTTGGCTTCATTTTATAAACAATTTTTGTGTGTGAAGAAGGCTCTTAGTTTAGACTACATGTTGCAAATTATAAATTACATAAGACTATTAATACTCTGTTTATCACTTTAAAGTAAAGCTGGGTAACAGTACAGCAGTGGTAATTATGCTATATATTAAAAATGGCTAGCAAATGTTTTCTTGAGGGCAAAAGTTGGTAGTTTTTATTCTTACCAACCCAAGGAAAAGCTGAAAAGTAATTATGTAAAAGAATTTGGGATTCTGTCTCTCTGCCTATCGGCAGGATAATTCTCCAAATTCAGAACACAGCAAAATCAGCAAGCTGGATCAGGCTGTGGGAGTAGAGAAAATAAATTCAGAAAATTTCCTCTAATGTATCCCTATGGGAAAGGAAATTAGGCAATCAGCTGGTATGTTGCTTATTCCACCCTTCCCCCTTAATAATGTGACCCAGACAAGCTCATATGGAGCCCTTCCCACGCCTTCCTGTGTACCCATACATGCACAATATGAGAGGAGAGTGAAATACACACACATAGAGGCTACACATACGGTATATATACCCACTCTGATTAGTCCTTGGGAGAAATAGTGCATATACATACAAACACAGAGAATTGCAACATGTTTCATTACACAGAAGAGTACAGACACAGCCTATGTCCTTTGCTAGTAAAGAAGATAGAAGTCAAGACACCATGCTATATATACTTTGTCTTGGTTTATGATTTCCAACAAAGGCATGTTTATTGATCCCTTCTTGGATTTAAAAGCCTAAAAAATTTATAGGGTAGGCGCCTTTTATGGTGTTTAGTCTAAGGCTTACCTTCTGTATAAGGTATGAGAAGGACAAGTTCCCCACAAATGCTGCCCATCATATACTCCTGATGAAAGCTATGAGCATGGCAATAGCAGTTACTATTTCTGCATCATGAAAAGTATTGTCTGGATCTACTGAATCAGCCTTTATGTTCAAGAAAGAGGGATGGGGGCCAATAAAGGGTGGATATACATTGTACAAGAGGCTGCTTCCTCTTGGACTGCATTAAGGAAGTAACATCTGGCAGAGCCGGACTGTACGAATATATTCTGCATATTGCATATGCCACACACTAAAAGTGATATGAGAGAGGAATAGTCTATTTTCCCAGGTAATTGCATTATGTTTACAGTTTGTTCTATGAGAAAAGGGCAAGGGAAATTATCAATTTATTCAGATAACCTGTCATTTCAAACTACTCTGTTAAATCCATATTGTAATGGACTACTCTCCAAAAAGTAAAAAGAGAATTTTTCCAAATGCATTTGGGAAAAAGAAGTTGATTTTTAACACAATGTTATTTTTATTGATTATCCCATGCCATTGAAATTCATAGCTATGAACATAGCCTTAAAAAGTATTGTTAAGGAATTGTTAAGACGTTAGCATTTTTCATAAAACTTCGTGGCTAATGCTTTTTATTACTTCTATGCCAATGTAAAAATAATTGGTTTTATTCATATCAGTTAAGCTTCATGAAATTAAATACAATAAACTTTCTGCAAATACATTTTACATTTGTTCTCTAATGCGCATGCGCACACACACACACACACACACACACACACAAATATTTTGATAGTTAATCTCCCATATTTTAAGTAGTAATTTAATAGGTAGATGTAATACATTACCTGGTAATCTAATCTAATAGTAGATTCTGTTTGCCATTTAAACTCCAACTGCAGAAAAGAAAAACAGAAGAATCTGCTCTATTTCAGAGAAAAGAGGCAGTTAAGAAGGAAACATATTAGATGCCTCCTTAAATAATTCCTTTCCTTGAAGAGAAGGCACGGCTCTGTCCTGGTGTGTGCAGAAATTCAGCTACTTCAGCTATAAAATCTTCCTTTCAAGAAAATGAAAAGCAGCACAATACTTTTGGTCCTTAGGCTGTCAAGGCACAAACGGGAGTTCTTTTTACCCAAGATACTTTCAGAACCAAAATAAACAGGATTACTTTAAAAAACAAACAAACAGGCATTTGCAAGACAGTTTCATTTGTTCTGTTTATTTTCCACAAATTTAGTCTGTGTAAGTTCATTGTTTGTTAGAAATTGTATGCTTCTTTGTATTTGAAAGAAAACTTTCAAAAGCCACATTTTTCTTCAAGATAGAATTTAATGGCAATTCTTCTGAATAAGAGCTTTCTACCTCCTCTCCCCTTCTGCCTGATGTTTTCAGTAGCTAACAGACTTTTGGGCTGATTTCAAAAAAAGAAATTATGAAAGAAAAGAAAATGTCTGATTCATTTTTATTTGATTATTTATACATTCAATTCTAACTGAGTACTGAAATAATATACTGTACTCAGATAGTTTTGAGGATGAGGCCATGGTTTGGTAGCCAAAAAGAAAATGTGTATTACTACTCATTTCCTTTTTGTCTCAGGGGTTTTATTCCTTCATTCTTTGGCTTGTGCTTCCTTCTTTATATCTACTAGTTTTCTGAAGGAGGGAGTGTGCTATCAATCTACCATCTGTCCATCCATCCATCCTAAAACTGAAAACACTTGGTTTGAAGCTACATCATTCAATGAATTTTAAGAATTGTACAAAACTTGAAAAGCAATGACATCTTAGGTGTACTGTTATTACCCCAAATCTTATGCAAGTTAGACTATGCTTTATTTGGCCAGGGGGTGTTTGATATGTGCATTCATGTTTGACTAACAATCCTGAGCAGACTTAACATTCAAGTGTTAAACAAAATTGCATGTACCAAATATAGTCTGGAAAGTAGCGTTAGAGAAACATTAAAAACTGAATTAAAGGATCACAAGGAATCAAAATGAACCTTAGGTGAATTACTTGTGCCAAATTAGTTGGAAGATATTTGGTGCATGAATATGATAGTTGGATGGAGAAACTGACCTTCAAAGAAATAATGAGTACTATATGTCCTCCCAGTTATATGGCAGCAGCAGAAGGATCTTGAGAGAGATTTGGAATATCTAGGGGAAGAATACATCTGAGATTAGCTTGAAGTCTAAGATTGAGACTATCTTCTATCAGAAAATCAGGGTTAGGAATCATTTGAGGCCAGCGTGAACTAATAATGACAGGATTGAGAAGATAATCAAACCTCTTTTAAAACCTATCTTCTTTGTTGCTTAATGGAAACCCATTTTTCCTAAATTACCCAAGTGGTTATGTTATCTGTCAGTACATTAAAGTAGGCCAGGTTAGAGAACAGTTTCCCCAGTCCGACTATTTGCTACTAAGTGTGTTTACGAACAGGATGGTGACTCATAATTAGTTTTCAGTGCAACATCTATTATTTGTAAGGGAAGTGCCCATCAATTTAATTGGTAAAGGAATGCTCAGTAGCTGAGGTATATGAATTACAACAGCCTTTGCTCCTGGCAGTTCAACAATTTTTCTCAGGCTGCCGTGTCCAAAGAAATATTAAAACCAAATGGTAATTCAGAGCTAACTGGTCAGGATAGAAGAGAGGCAGGATATAAACATCTAAACAATCATATAGCAATAAAATATACTCAGGTCATTCAGAAAGTATCTTCCACGTAATCTGTATTTGGTATCCTTATGTCATAATTGTCATCATCATTGTTATCCTGATAAATTGTGATTATAGTGATTAAGACTTTATGATGTTTTTACACTATTGCATTTGCCTATTGAAAATGGTATTTTAAGACACAATACTAAAGAGTGCTCAAAATACCAAATTTTGATTTTTCAATCTAGACTTCAACATAAATAAATTAAATAAATGTACTGCCCAATGTGGAATCTGGATTCAAAAGAGGCAGAGGCAGTCAAAATCACATTATGAACCTCTGATGGATAATGGAAAAGACAAGGGAGTTCCAAAAAAGACATATTACCACCACAAATTGGTAACAAAAAAGGTTGTATTGGCCAACTTAGTTGCTTCTTGAAGAATTTGTATGTTGACCAGAGATAATAGTTAGAACAGAATATACAACTCTAAATGGTTCAAAATTGGGAGAGGACTTTGCCAAGGTTGTATACTGTCATTTTATTTATCTAATTTATATGCAAATTCTAGTATGAGAAATGCTGGTCTAGAATTAGAAACTGGAATTAGAATTGCCAGAACAAACATCAGCTATTTCAAGTATGTTCATTTTAACCACTGGAGGCAAGAAAGATTTTAAACTGTTTTCTTGAAGATGAAAGAAAATGCAAAAGTTGTTTGCTGCTCCACATTAAAAAAAAAAACAGCTAATATTACATTAGCAGACAATGCTTAGACATTTTGAGCACATAATGTGAATGCAAGAGTCCCTGGAGACCTTGATGTCTGGAAAAATTGAAGGGAAGAAGAAGAAAAGGCAGAGAGAAGATATGATACTATCATTAATGACAAGGCATAACCTTCCAAAATCGCGGAAAACTTATTGACAGACAGACCTAGCACTGATGTCAACAGATAATAAGGAATCAGAAACCAGTAAATTATAATATAGGCTTAACAGCTAGCTCAATATTTGTTCTTCTTCAAAGTATAAACACATAAACCAGTATAGAATATGATTCCTTGCTCAAAGCTAGTCAGGCACAGGCAGCTCTCTGTAAAACTGCACTATTTACTAAACTTGACAACTATCCAAACATAATGTTATGAAGCCGAACAGACTGATATTTAAGTGGGGGAAAGAACTGTATTTTGATATCTTCCAGTATTGATATTATACTGCTATAGATCTGTTTGCCAAATTATTGCAATGCAAAAACTTTAATATTAATGTTAAAAATTGGATCACATACTTGTAATCACATTCCAATCACCATGGTATAATTGTGAATTATAAAGAAATAGTCTTCTAATGTAGAAGAAAAGCAATACTTTTCTTTTTAAAAAAAGATTTTATTTTATTTATTTTTCACATTTTTGAACCTCCCATCCCGCTCTCAAAGAGGGATTGAGAGAAGATATTGCAGTCTCTCCGGGGAGCACAAACCAAAGTGAATTCATTTTAAAAGAGTCAGCAATAGAGTTGCTCCAATAAGAAATGGCTTGGCACCATAAACTACAAATATGAACCCTATAGTTGCATTCTTTGTTTAATGAATGGTTTCTAATATCTTTATAACCAAAAATATAGAAAGTTTCTGAGAAAAAAACAAACATTGAAGGCTTTCTATTAAAAACAGATGCTTTGATGAACTGTGTGTGTGTTTGTGTGTGTGTATGTTACACTTGGTGCAGTTTGTCTCCCAGTTGATGTCAGGGTAGTTAAAATCCCCCATTACTATTCTTTTAATAAGTTTTTTATTTTATTTTACATTTGCATATCAATGCGGCAACAGTGTGGCACCTGGGTGTCATACATTCTAATACGAATAAAACTAGTAAAATTAATCATAGTTATTACATTCAACCAACTTATATATTTCTAACAATAATACATATTTATATTAAGTTGTAGTTTATCGTTATTTAATTATTCCATATTTTTATATATTGATCTAATGCTACTCACCATATTATTTGATCATACATAATAATACCGCCATTCAATTTCTAAGCTTCCCTCTTGTTACTGCTTTTGTTTTAATATGTAAAGATGTATACACTGATATTCCCTCTTTCTCTTGTTTCTATCTCTATTCTAACTTTTAATCATGTCACCCTTTTATTAAAAGGTGTTTTCTTTCTATCCAAAATCTCTCATCCACTTTGGAGCTTTAAATCCTGTTCATTTTTAACTTACCTCCCATATTTCACTCTTTACATCTATTTGTATTAAGATACAATCATTCATTATTTCATTATCCAATGTTTCAAGACACAATTCTAATAACAATCCCAATATTATTTAGGCATACAAAATTATTCTAATCATATTCTTTACAATCATCAAATCTATATAATGCTGATAGCAATACACATGTTTATATTAAAGTATATTGTTTCATTATTTAATTGCTCAGTTTTCAATATATTATTGCAATGCCAGTCACAATATTATTAAAACATACTTAATAATACCATCATTCAATCTCTAGTTTTCCCATTTTATTGTTATTTTCTTCTCTTATTTCTACCTAACTTCTAATCATGCCACCATTCTAAAAGAGAAGGGAAAGAAAGAGAAAAAGAAAAGCAAATCAAAGAAAAAAGAGAAACCCTTTCCTTTCTAACTATCATCTCTTGCCCGCTTCAGTATTTTAGTTGTTATGCTTTTTTTGACTTGCCTCCCATATTCCTCTCTTGGATCTTTATCTCTGTCTGCATCTACTTCTTGACTATACAATTCAAGTATTTCTCCCCTCTTCCACTGCCTAGCTTCCAAAGTATCTGCCCAAACCCCTATCGCCCATTCAAAAGTATCTTCCTGCATCTTCAATTCTCTTTTCAACGCTCTTAAAATATTTTCCCTTGGTTTAATTAATCAATCACTGTTATTTTTATTATTATCTCCTCCTTGTCTTCTTTTGTTCACTGGTTCTTCGGTTCTATCTTTTCCTCCATTCCTTCTGTTGGCTCCTCTCTTTTCTGAGTGCCTAGATCTTTACTCATCATCCCACGTATAGTATTTTCCATTTTTTCATAATCTCCTTAAACCCTTTCTCCATTATATTCTTTGTGCTTTGGAAAATCAACGCCATCTCCTTCAAAGTTCCACTCATTTCTTCCTTCTTATTTTTTTTTTAATCCCACTTTTATACAGTAGTCCAAGAATCATTTATTCAGACCTAAAATTGCCCTTTAAGAGGTACACTGATCACAGTTCTTTGTATCCCATGGAAATCAATCAGTTCTGTTTAAATAGTCCCAGGAGTTATCAAAAGCCTCTTTATGTCCCCTTTACAGGTTCAATCTGCATAACATTCAGGCCTCACTTTAATTAAATAACTTC